ATCCATTACTACTAGTAGTAAGTGGATATATTTGGCAGAGTGGTGACGGTGGTTTGATGTTTTCCCAGCCCCCACCAGTCCTGCATGGATTCTGATTGGCAATTCTTTACTGAAGAGTAGCGCCTGCTCTATTCTCCAGTGAGCGAATTATTATTCTGAGAAGGTTCTTGTCTGTAAACACTCCACACAACATCTCCACTGAGAGAAGAGGTTATAATTATGCCATTATCTTACCCAGACAACTAATTTACTAACTCAGTGTGGCTTGAGCATGCACCCGGTTGTAGCTGAAAGCTGTTTGTGTTTTGGGGATTTGCAGGGGATTGTCTCTCACACCAGTCTGAGATGGATCATCCTGTGCTCCTACCCTATTTTCTTTTTTCTCTCAAAGGGAAGCAGTTTAGCCCTTCCTTGGCAGGCTCGTCAGACAGCAGAATTCAGCTTTGAGAGGCACAGTCTGCCGTGATATAAAGCGTAGAACAGTTTTATGGAGAGTTAGTGTATCGGGGCTGTTCTTAGGAGTCTAACAGGATAGGGGTGGGAATGCGAGAAGAGTGCATGTCTTCCTTTTTGGGGCCATGCTGTATTAAAGGTCTTAAATTCCTCTGGGGCTCTGTGCCTGCCACCTATAAAAGATGTTTCTGCTGTTGTACTTTTCTCATGGTCATTGGAGATGCAGCTGCTCCCTCTGGGTCCTGAATGTGCAGTATGGGTACTGCTGGCATCTGTGGGGAGCTTAGAGTGGGGCTGTCACGATGTGATGGCTGGAGCCAGGTCCTGGGGCAGAAGGATGAAAGCTGGCATCTTAGAGCCCTGAGAGGAAAGGTCTGTTCCTAAGGCCTTAAGACTGTATCCTTGTCTGTGGTGGCTAGCTCTGAAGCTCTTGCTCTGGGGAAACCCATGTGATGCTTATCTAGTGAAGTGATTTTCAATCAGGGTGCCATGAGATGCTTTTAAAGGGGCCATGTAGTATGCATGCTAGTGTGAGTTTAAATGCTTGAACATGATTCAAAAGATAAACCCTGACATTTCACAAAAGAATCCAGATCATCAAAATGATTCTGACCTATTGTCTGTTTGCTGACTTCGTTGCAACAGAAGAATGGCTCTAGTGTTGTGTTTTTGTAGTCAGAAAGAGTAGAAAGAGTTTTGTAGTCAAAAAGCTGGCATTTTCCAAGGGAGGGTTTGAGTCTCTTGAGGGCCTTGAGTCTAAAAAGGTTGAGAACCAGTGACCTGTTGTGCAGGAGGAGATGGGGACAGGGGCTGTCGTGTTGTAGTGGCAGGGCAAAGCAAAGATCCCACTATAGGGGGTAATGCTGAGCAAGCCAGAGCCTTGCAGAAACCTAACTGCATCCATTAGGGCTGTAGTATGAAACATGACCAAAAAAAGTGCAAGCGTAGAGATGTGGCTGAGTCAAAGAAAGCCACCTTCATAGAATCGTAGAAGTAGGGTCGGAAGGGACCTTGTAGATCTTCAAGTCCGACCCCCTGCCTGGGCAGGAGAAAAAACTGGGCTCAAATGATTCCAGC